GCCAAATCATAAAATGACTGCTTCAAGTTTGAGATCGTCAGTACAGACAGAAGTCTGTTGATTTACTGACCCTATGAGAATACATACGCTATGAAGTTGAAAATGAATCAGAAAAGACATAATTAATCGATGTTTTACTTAACTGACTGACCTAATCTAAATATTCTTATAATTCTACTTCAAAGCCCCATAGATGAAACAGTATATATAAATCTAAGGCCCACAATTAAAAAAAGGTTTTAGCGCCACTCTTTTATTTATTTTTATAAGAAAGGGCTTCTATATTTAAATAGTATAAGATCCAGGACTCTGAGAACGTTGATAATGAAACATTAAAGATATATTTTTTATTAAATATACCGGAACTATTTTATTTAATGTTATTGACAATAGATATACATTATATGAGTATATCTGGTTACGTGCGGTTAATAATATATGGTTAATTTACATATAGTGCCACTGTATGTAAATGTACTTTGTAGATCTCTGTATGCAACTAAACTGAATACCTTTACACAACTTCAAAAGAACATTAACAATTGTCATAAATCTTCGATAAGTTTATCGTTTTAGCTTCCTAATTTGTGAATCAATGTTAATCATTGTATAACATGATTCTGCAAAAATATCCTATAGATCTTCACATCTCAAACGATTGAACTGCAAGTGAATAAACTAAACTAATCTTATCTACCTATTGTCTCACCTTCCTCGGACAAGCACAAAAGATGGCGCGGCGGTTGAGCAGGCGGAATAAATAAACTTTCTTCTTTCTTCCAGCTTTTATTTTGTTTCCTTTTGAGTAGAGGCTTTGAACCGTGGGGTTCAAGTGCGTCTGCTAGATAGTACCGGTGACCCCAGAGTTGTTGCTTTGATCGCTCAAAGTTATTCAAAGTATAGCAATAATAATCATATTAGGCTTTATTCATCCACATACATTTATCTTATTATTTTATAGTATTACATACATTTATGAAAAATATATATAAATAAGAATTTTACTACTCTGAGCTGCGGCCCCTGTCCGGGAAAAGGCCTCATCCAACTTTTTTCAGCCATTATTTTGTGCCATCGTCATCCAATTTTTTCTAGCTCCCTTCTGATCCCTTCGGCCCATCGCATATTGGTCTACCCCTATTCCTTTTTCCTGTATAACGGAATACGTGTCTTGTCCATCTACATTTAAATTGTAGTGCATTGTCGCTCAGCATCAATTATTTTTGCTTTTCTGCGAAACGAATAAGTATCGCAATACAGCGAGGAAATGCTGCCAGCGTTAAAGGTACACTGCCACAGGGACCAAACTTTTTAATTTTGTTTTAATTTCTATTTTAAATATAATAATTATCGTACCTGACCGGAACTTACTAGACCGATGCATAAGATAGTTTCTCAATTGAATGTCATATCTTAATCATGAATGACTCCAGGATATTTTATGTTATATATATTTATTTTCATGCAATCATATGGTATAATTTATACTTACGAGTACTCAATAAATTACTTCACGAATAAAATCGGCCTCGTGCGAACCGAAAACGAAAAATTCGATAATATTATTTTCGTGGTTCGTTACAAAAGTAAAGTAAAACTAGAAAATCATTTTATCACATAGGTAACATAATGTACACTTATCACTTGTCAGTAAAGAAATACATATAGATGCTTCTAATTTTACATTTACTGCCAGTTCTCAAATCAAGGGCGTGGAACGGAGAGAAGAACTGGCAATAAACTCTCCCCACTCTTTTTAATGCATTTTTTTACAAAATGTTTGTAAGGAGGTACAACCATTACACCATGTCCAATGTGACATTTTAAGTAATTAATAATAATAACATAAATTAAAAACAAAGATTTGTCCTCAGCAGAAGGCATGGTGAAATAGGAACACGCACTTACATTCTCGTGGGAACAACACGCAAACACATAGTCGAAATAACCTACATCACATACAACATTATAATATGAATAAACTTAAGTGTCAACTTGACAATATTCCTTATACTGGTTGAAAAACCTTGGTTTATTAAGAAGAAACTTTTGAAATGTCGATTTATGAATTACCCACCGCCAAGTAGGTACTGATAAACAGTCAATTGTTTTATATCGTGTTATATATTTAAGTACTGTATTAACCGTAATAATAACCGCATTATACTATCTATTGTTTACATAGTGCAACTGTTTTTATTTTATCGAAACAAGTGTCTATTTACAATGACGATAAAATAAATGCATTTGCCGCGAGCAATTTTTAACGTTTTACTTAATCTAGTTCTGAGCGTGGAGAATGAAACACGATATACTTGAAATATGTTTTAAAACTAATTGTAATCGTTTATTTATTTCACCAGTTAAAGTGTTGAGACTGGCCATGAGGATTTGAAAGTTCTATTTAAGTCTTTCTTATAAAAGTTAAAAAATTAAATATTTTAACTAGCATATCAGGGTTTTCAGTGTACCATGGAGGAAGCCTCTTTTGGGATTTAGATATTATTATGTTAGCGTAAGCGCAGATGCTATGAATTATATTTATCAATAAACGTATATAAACATGTGTTAAAATATTTTTTTACTTATATTACTGAATTGGGATACAGTATATATTAAGAGTTAGTTGAAGTGATAAAGTTGAAGAAACGTTTTGATATCGATATACAGTCTTTCAATTTTAAAGCCAAATAAAAACTTGTGTGATAAGACTGATTTGGTTTTTATAAATAATCCTAATTAAATAATAATTAATTAAACTATAATATAATTATCAATTAAATAAAACAAATATTCAAAAAGCTGGGGCGGCCGCAGAGCACGCGGAAAATAATAAACGGCTCAAATATTTCTCTTTCCTCCAACTTCGATTTTATTCACTTTGGAGTAAAGACTCTTGGGCCGTGGGGTGCAAATACACAGGCGCTAATTAAAGATTCAAGTTGGCGCCTGGTAGATACTACCAGTGACCGCAGAGTTGGTGCTTTCCTCGCTCAACGAATAAGTATCGCAATACAGCGAGGAAATGCTGCCAGCGTTGAAGGTACACTGCCACAGGAGACAAATTTTTAAACTTGTTATAATTTTCTTTTTATTATTACTATATAGGTTAAGAAAATTGTAAATATTGTATTGATTGTTATCATTAGTAATTAATATCCCATTTTTGGTTAAAAAAAAAACTCATAAAGATTGAAACAACTTTACTAATAAACATATATTTAAAAAAATATTGCTAGACAGGTCACAGTTTAACTTTGTAGATTCTTAATAAAAATTAGCTCAATCAGTCGTAGATATGTATGTCACATTTAAAAGGCACAGATATAAAAAAATAGAAACCATTTATGTCAGTGCCTATTAAGTCGACATACATGACCAATTACAATTACCGGTTGAGTTATTTTTAATCTGTGTATCTAGACCATCTTGACATTCAAGATTTATCCTTGACGTTACTGCACGCGCGTTTTAACTTATACCTAAATATTACTATATTAATAATCAAATGTGTAATATTATTCTATCAAAAGGTACTTTTGTATTAAAGTTAACTTAATAATTAAAATAGATTCGTTTTTATATTTACATTAATTCTTTAGACTTTTTAACTATATTCTTGAAGCGTTATGTACTAACAAAACTTAAACGATTTTAAAACAAATGGTGACTTTCACCTGTAACTAAGCGTACGACCAACCAGGCTCCAGAAGATAAACCACTCCTTATTTGGAATTTGTATTCGTTTTTACAACAAACTACCAAGCAAAATTAGAGAATTATCACTGAATCAATTCAAAATTCTCGTTAAACGTAAAATAATCAATAAAGCTTTTTATAAATTTGACGATTATTTAAATGATTCTAATCCTTGGGATTGATTTGCTAGAGTTCAAACAATTTGTATGACTCAAAACTTGGCGATTAAAGAGAGTGGCGTAGAGTCTCTTGCCCATTCTACGCCCTTGACTTGCGAACTGATAGTAAATGTAAATTTAGAATCAATTTAATTTTTTTTCTGTTAACGTTCATAATTGTACTTGGTTACCTATATGAATAAAGTTATTTTAAGTTTGAGTTTGAACTCATAAACTGTTGTGTATACAATAATTATTTTAACAGTTTTCGAATTCTAAAAACTTTTACAGCATACAATAATGTGAACCCTACCGATTTAAAGTTGATTACAAAATTCACAGAATACAACAATGCAAATATTACAAAACTCCCCAAAGTACAATGACAAAGATAACAATCTGTTCTATCATGTAATGTAGACAAGATGACTTCTTTATCATTTTAAATAAATGTACCTGATCACCTTGGCTAAGTGGTTTCAGCGTGCGACTCACACCCCTGAGGTAATAGGTGCGAAGCCTGGCTCTGCACTAATAGACTTCTATGTGCGCATTTAACACTTGCTCGTAGGGTGAAGGGGAAATCGTGAGTAACTGTATCAGGCACAGAAGGCTGCTGAGCAGAACATTAACAATCATTCCATGCTTGTTGTTGTTCCTATCGTCGCTTCTTCAAGTCTTAAAGTTCGGAGTTAGGCCTGCCGCACCGTCGGGATCGCTTTATGACAATAAACTCAGCTTTCGCCCTTATTTATAACAAAATAATCGTGTATTGCACTGTTTAAACTGAATTATAACTTAGCCTTTCCGCTATATTGTTTTAACTTTGTGATAAAAATTTATAGGGAATGCTTTTATGTAATGGTATAATAAGACTGATTTAGTTTTTATTAATAATATATAATAAAAACTAAGTTCAGATATTTTGAACTATGACCACTAATTCATTATTGCTTCATCAGATTCTATTGTTTTCATCTCCTTAGGGGTATGGTTGTATCAGTCTCGGTCATAATAACAATATGTAAGTTACGCATATTTAACATGTCCCTTTAAATTTTTATCCAACTGTGACTTAAATTTCATAATAATTTAAGGCCCACGCTATTTTCGATAACTACGACATTGCTTTAAAAAATCAACTCATTTTGTTTGTGAATTCTCCGGGTCGTTTCCTTCCCTACGCTTAGCCCTCGTCTCCCTTCGATGTTTTGTAAACATCCACCTGCGGGAAAAGCTTTGTTTGAAATAATACAAACATTTACACAACACTTCAAGTTAATGATTTCTCATTATATTCCCATTGTAGTTTAATAGGGCGTTTCTCTTCGGAATTCCATTTTTAAATAGTTATAGCGAATGATTTAAAGATGGGGGACGGATTTTAAATATGGAAAGAGATTTTTGGATAGAATTATCAGCACTGAATTGTTTAGATTGAAATTTAAAAATGGTCGAAAATTTGCTTCTACTTATGATGTTCGTTTGTTTACTTTATTAAATCCTAATACGGCCACAAAAAACTGATCACTCCAAACTTTTCCATTTGACGACGGACTGAATTAGTTCCATTTCTCGAGAAATATATTGGCCCATACACTAAACTCGGCAAATACAGGTACAGAAAGCACCTGCTTGGATAATAAAAAAGTTGTCATAAGCTTAGGTTTCCTAGAAAAGCGGTGCCGTTAACTAACGGCTGTCATTTTACAGTTGTTAATAACGGCCGTCTTTACTTTTTAACATAATGCAAAAAACAATAATTTTCGCTCGTCCAAGTCACGTTTCCTCTCATTGTATTAATTAAATATGGGCACCGCTACACGCGAAAAACGTTGAACTAATGTTCATCACCGCTATGACGGCCGTCATGCAAATGACAGCACCACTATTTGACGTTACGGTGACACTCAACGTTCTCTAGAAAACCTACTCCGATGTTATTTATAGACAACGTATGGGTGACGTCACCCAACGTTACATTACGGCCGTTGGATAACGGCACCGCTTTTTTAGAAAACCTCAGCTTAAGGGCAGATATATAACAATATATAGTATATAGTACTATTTGTATCCACTCTGCCTGTGATGCCTCCATACAAACAATATCAATTGAGTTTCATGTTCAATTTCCCAACCAATATTACTTACAATAACATGACAATAGCAGGAATAGTCAACACTGCACTGTACATATATACAGCCCCAGTATATATAGTCAATGTATGTGCGTATAGCGTAGTATATGTGGGATCAAAGAGCAGCGCCGCTAGCGTCTCTACCAAGCTGAATAGAGAATTCATTTTACCTGAAAGATTAATATAAATAAATCCTTTGGCTTTGTATGTAAAAATTGTAATGTTTTTGTTATTATTCAGGCTTTAAGTAAGAGACAACTTTGGAGGTATACATGTTAAATAGCTTATTTAAGTCTCTTATAGAGAGAGTTTTCCTGCTGGGAAAAGGGTAAAGTTGGTTATGCATGTAATTGCGCGTTGCCAATCCCGGGTGTGCCAACGACGTTTCTTTAAGCAATCAACAATCTGTACGAAATACTAAATTTCCCTTTGATTCATTAAATTAACTGTGAAGCTACTTTAAGAAATATAGTCATTAAAACATTAAAAAATTCCATCAGCACAGCCGAGTCCAAATCAACGCAAGTCGATGGTAATACGCTTAAGCAATAACAAAAACAACTTAGCTAGCTTAGTCTTATTACTTAATATAATGATAAATAAATAAATATTTATGTTATATTAAGTACATCAAAGTTAGTAATAGGCAAATACAATACTAAATGCCCGGAAGATATTACTGTAAGATTTAGTTTGGCAATGGGCTGCTAAATTTATATTTCACTAATAGATTGTCAGATTTCTGAGCAACGTTTTGATGTATATAAATCCTTATATTATTTATCTATCATATAAAATTCTCGTGATACAAATGTTCGTTCCCATATTCCTCCGAAACGGCTCGACCGACTTCTTATAAATTTTTTTATGCATATTCAGCAAGTCTGAGAATCGGCTACTATCTATCTTTCAAACCGCAAAATTTCTATTCTTTAGATAAAATTTTTGTTTTTATTTGTTTATGATACAGCATACAACAATACACAACCCTTAATTTTCACCCCTCTACGATCAACCCGTATTTTTTATTATAGTAGATAGTTATTTTCATTGAACTAAAATTTTTTTTCCTACAAATAATATACATGGCACAACAACGTTTGCCGGGTCAGCTAGTATATCTATACAAAATCCATGCAGGCGAAGCTTCTGATGGAAGCTCATAATGAATATGTTAGAGTATTAATATATAATAAATATTATAAACAATATATTAAATATACAAGAACTCTCTATAATCTCGAATCAGATAAAGATTAGCATCTTAGTACTAATAAATAAAATTGTTTACCCATTTCTTCGTCTCGCACCAACTTAGAGGCCATTGACCTCAGCGACGTGAAGGTTGTTGCATTAAGAATTTCAACGAGCGGTACTGGAAACGAAAATGTTTAGTCACGTTTTAGAATATCGAATTTAATATCCGCACATTTGAATGTAAGTTACAGTATTTTATATAAAGATATAGCAATTCAAGACTTAAAAGCTTTAACCAACGAACGGTTTTGTCGATCTGATGAAACTCTATCAGGAGTTTGACAAAATTTAACATTAACTTAAAATATCTGTTTGAACATCGACTAGGGGTTACGCGAGATTAAGTGCCAATACTTAAGGTTAAGTATGGCTTTCGTATGTCAAAGATGTTATATATGTCAAGTCAAAGTCAAAAATCATTTATTCATATAGGTAACACAATGTACACTTATGAACGTCAAAAGAGAAATATACATTAAATTCTTCTAATTTTACATTTACTGCCAGTTCTCAAATCAAGGGCGTAGAACGGAAGAGAAGAACTGGCAATAAACTCTCCGCCACTGTTTTTAATCGCCAAATTTTTTTGCTTTACACAAAGCTTGTAAGGAGCTGCAACTATTACACCACGGTGACGCCTGTTAATTTATTTATCAGTCGCTTAAAACCTCAACTAATTAAATTTTTTGGAATTAATTAAAGAAATATATAATTTAGGTTAACTATAAAACATGCTTATTGTTGCTAGTTTCGATTGTTTATTCAAGTCTAAAACCTTTCAGTGAATGCAATCAATTCAAATGCGTTCTCCTCCAATATTACAGTTCGCCTGAACCTCTATTTTTTGATGTTAAGTGATACCACCCATTGACACTCTCAATGCCAGAGGGCTCGCGAGTGCGTTGCCGGCCTTTCAAGAATTGGTACGCTCTTTTCTTGAAGGACCCTAAGTCAAATTGGTTCGGAAATACTTCAGTTGCTTCTGATTGCACAGAATAACCCACCTTATTAAAACATGATACATTTTAAGCAAGTAGCGTTCCAAGCCGAAATCATTATTTCGCGACAATTTTTTATTTTATTTTAGTGCAAGAATAGCGTTGTCTAACCAGAAACAATTATTTCATTGAGTGTTATCACTGCGGTCACTTGCTCTAACAATAAGATACTCACTCATAAACATATCAAAATCCGTCCTAACGAACGCGATGCAGATAGAACCGACCAATTTGCTAACTATAGATATCAGGCATAAAACACTGTCGTGAAAACCCCATCGTTTGCTGAAAACACTTATCGAGAAAAGTGCACCTGGAAGAGATAAATTATTATGAGATTTTTATTTACGAGAGTTACCTAAACATACAGATGAACGCCTCACGTTTTTAAACAGCGGGTTGAGAGGGGTTTAAATAAATACCAGAAATTTAATCCTATTGACAAACAAGATGGCGTACGTTTATGATCTGAATATATTTGTTACGAGCAGATCGGCGGCGCAACTGAGTAGCGATCGCACAATTCTAGAACGTGCGTACTAGCTATCTCTTTCGCACATTGCTCCGTCCTTGTCGTACGGCGTTCTAGAGTGCTCGGTCTAGCTTCGAGAAGGTTCCGATCTTCCCTCTCTCTCGCGTATCGTTCCGTCCTTCTCCCACACCTAGAAAATTCGTTCTAGAACATTCCTTCATCAAAGGGGTATAACCAGGCCTGAAAACGCCTGAAAACGGGTTTCCTGAAAAGTGTACCATTCGACTACACTTGTTCTGAAACGGCCTGAAATAATGTTTCAGCCTCCTGAAAACTAGGGTAACATTCTGTAAATTACGACTTTCTAATATGTGATTGACCCTTCCCTGAAACGGTCAGAAATCACATTTCAGCCTGCTGAAAAGTTCTCTAAGTAGTGGAAAAATCTAGAAACATTGTAGTCGACCCGTCTTCGTAACAATATGTTAAAAGATTACTTGATCTAATGGATGTGGGTTTTAAATATATCTAAGTGGAAGACAATCACTATATTTCAAGCTGCTGGCACCTGGAAACAGCCACAAATAAAACCTAATTCTAATCCACTGCACGCGCAAAAGTAGTTGCCATCGGTAAATCTATTGTATTTACGGTCTTAAGGCCCTATCCCAGCACGAATTTCTGTGTCAGTGTCTCGGGGCGCAGTGGAGAGCTGGAGCACTGAGATGCGCCGGCCCGTAATAACAATTAGTTATGTAAATCATTAAATCAATATAATTTTATCAATTCTTTTTTCTGAAATGGATTACTTGGTTTACGATAAATATATCGTGTAAATTTCAAAATCATGTTCTATATTCAATTTCGTCATAAAATATGGCTAAATTGCTATTTTTGTTTTTTTTTCTATCGAGCGAAGTTATTTAAATCGTGTATCGATCTTTCAAAATGGGTACATAAAATACTCAACTCCACCATATATGTTTTCCATTCGCCCTACTTCCCTACTTCAAGAAACGATGACGAAAAATGGAATGAAACAATGTCCTTTTTTGGAGTTTGGCGACCATATCAGTCCTTTGCAACATTGCAATTTAGTACAATTTCATAAGGCGTACGGTACAAATGCTGAATTAGTATAGGTTCTGTTCAGTTCTAATCGATAAACCGCTGTTCTAAAATCGTGTGACACAATCTTACCTAGCGAATGTGTGATGACGCTATAAGTGGAGTAGAAACTGAATTTTAAAGCATCCCATTTCAGCCGATATCTCACAAACATGTAGGTGATTATTGTCTCGCCTGCCAATAGAAAAAAAACTGTGGTTACTGCGCGTAAAGTTCAAATTCCATTGCATTGTTTGTGAATAAAAATCCATTGAATTCAGTTTGCCAGCGAACATTGAATGTTTAATGAAATTCACATCGTAGATGTATCTAATGTTATAGCTTTACGCAACCTAAAATTTTATGCCCCGTTGGTTCTTGGCAAATACACCATACAATAAAAGTTTTATGGATTTTTAGTTCAGACATTGACAGATTCGTGAATTCTTGCAAGGTGTTTCAGTTATAAATTTTATTAGATTATAGGTATTTAGCTGGAAGTTGGTAAGACAGAGCTAACGACAGAGAAGGATGGAATTCCTTGGGGGAGGCTTTTACACAAATGGGGTCCATGCATTATATTATAAAAGTAATAATTATTATATTAAAATCAAATAAATAAATTAATAATCAAATAATAAATAAATTAAACAAATAATAATTACAAAATAGAATTTATAATTAGAAATCAAATAATTCATACAAGCGTAACAACTGTTATTGATTATTATAGTCTAATAAGTACCAAATTGTATAGTTAAATATGTACTATGCATGGAATTAAATAAAGCTTTATTATTATTATAGGTTAAGTTGTAATAATTTATCTCAAAAATATTTGAATTTCGAAGTACTCACCATGGTTAGGCCCGTAGACAATAGCTACAATAGACAATGTTATGATAACCTTTTTTCTGAGATTTCCTTCCCGTTTCTTAAAAGCAACTTGTGCGGTCTCCTTCACTAACTTAAATACATTTGTGAGTTTGAATGGTTCTTCCTGAAACAGTAAAACGGTAAAATTATAATCAAAATACATTTCTTAGAGCAGTGTACAAATACAGTTAGATATATATAATTGCATATAAAAGAAAAAAAAATTCAGATATTTTTTCCCATCAGATGGCAGCAAATTATGGTCGGGATAACATCTGAGTATCATATTAAAATTATTTTTAGATATTGTCAATCAATATAGACAATAAATATTCTAATTTGTGTAATTGAATCTTAAACTGTTTCATTTCCACGTCAAAAGACTATCAACTTGTAAGAGACTGACTACGCGGCAGCGTGTTTCGATTTTTCAAGAGACATTTCTGTTAATATGTGATTAAAGTCCAAAAAGAAATATATTATTAATCAATTTATGCCATATAAGAGATTAAACATTTTCTGGTTACAGCAATCAGTAATTAAAGGTACACAGGTAGACCCCGATACAACCCCGATATTCGCGAAAAAAAAGTATATCCGATGTTACGTTCTTATAGAAGTTGTTAAATGGTCAAGTACAGAACAGTCAGAAGAACTCTTACAGAATATTAACATTGTCGTCAGTTATTCATTACTAAGGTTCAAAATCAACAGAATCTATTAAATTCCCATTATAAAAACTAACTTAGGAGTTCTCTGGACCTATCGAGGGTCCAGCTGAGTTCAGCAGAATGAGATCACTTTACTAGTAAAATCCAAAATTTTGTATATAATTTTTTTTTCTTTTCTATTATGAAAGTATAATATTTTGTATAAAAAGAAAGTATAACGTTTTGTAAAATGTAACATACATTTTACAAATACACCGTATTCGTAATGTATTTAAGAATTTATAGATTTTAACTTATACTGTAGAATAGTATATAGTTTTTTAGTATAAAAAACTGTACCAATGTATATGTGAACAATAATTTGTATAAGAAATAAATGATTAGTGAGTTGAGTTTATTGTGTTTTTATTATTTTATTAAATTGCATAATTTTTTCGCAACTGTATTAAAAATAGTTGTTCAGTACACGTGCGGAACCGTCATTGCAACTTGTTCCGACTGTCAACCCTCACCTTCGGCTGCGCCTCGGCTCGGGTAGACATTTGTCGAAACTCTTTGCAATGACAGGCTTTCCGCACTTGTAATGAAATATACTATTATATGATGTGGTGTACTTTAAAAAATTAATAATTAAAGAAATTCATAAATTATAGTAAAGGTAATAAAGAGAATTATTTAGATGAATAACTCACAAATACAGTTATTTTGGGACTAGTTCGATATTTGAACTTGACACGTGGTAAATATAGTATATGAAACATTCTTTTTAATTTGGTGGCCATATACCGAACACAGATAACAAATTAACCATAGCCATGAATTTAAAAAAAAGTTATAATAATATTCCTATTTCTTTTTTTCAACAAAATGCTCCCAAATTGCCAGTTGAACGTTGCATTTCGATAACAATTTATTTAATATTTGATGTTGACATTATATTATATTTAATACTTAAAGACTCTAATCATAATTCCGGAGTTTGTTTAAAGATTTTGTGATTAAAATCTGAATTGTTATGCCGCATTTCATAAATTTACATAATGTATCTTTTGCTGAAAGTTATGAGCGTTCGGATTAATTAATTATTAATAATATATTTTAATAGTAATTGACTTTTTAATATTTAATTAGCGAGCGAGGAAATGCTACCTTAAGAGTACACTGCCACAGGGACGAAACTGTTTAAATTTACGTCTAATTTACTGCGGTATATTTGTTTTTTTTTTATTATTATGCACACCTTAGGCTAAGATTATATTAAAAATTTGTACGAATATCAGTTGCTATAAATATCAATGACTTACTGCATTTGTTTCAGAAGTTACGGAAGTCTTGGGTTCGATTCCAGTCGATAGTTTCAGTTTAAAAAAGGATCATTATACGAACTCGTACATAAAATTTATTAATAGTACATATTTTAAGCTTGTTTTAGGTAACAAATTATTGACTACACTCAGGCTAAATTGTTAGATATTATATCATAGGTACATACCTTCTCAACAATCTTCTTTGTATTAGACTCCAAGTAGCAGTATCCATAAATAAAAGTTATCAAATAGATGCACGCGGATATTGTGAAGATACCATAATACCCCCATAAATTCAACAGGAGACCACTCAAGGCTGTTCCTATTGGAATTCCAGCTGTCAAACAGAGATTCACCAGACCGACACGAAATGTTCTGGATTCAGCAGTCGTTATATCACTAATGTAACTGAATACACCCAGATAAACCATCACCCATCCACCAGTAATAGCAGGAAAGAATGCTTCCAGAAACATTGTCACTTCAACAGGAATCTCGTAGAAGAAGAACGTACTAATTATATTACTGATACAAACTAGAAACTCGCCAAATAGCGGTAAGAGAATACATAGCTTTCTATTCCCCGTTTTGTCACTCCAAGCCCCCATAAAGATGACGAGGATGGTGGGCAGTGCAGTCTGTATCACGCTCTTCCATGCTTCTATAGAAGATATCACTTTTTGGACGTCTGCTTCGTAACTGCTTAAATTGTCTTTTTTCACTAGGAGGGCATCACATATTTCGTCACCAAACGCCTGTTTTACTCGACACACTTTGTCTAGATTTAGATTTTGGACTGCCAGCCTTGCCAGCATAGAAGGTATCACTAGGCCTGCGACGATAGGTTCAACTGATACGCTAGATTTAATGTAGCGCAGGTTTTCAATGAATGTTCTCTTTTTAAATTCATTTTGTATAACTTTCTTTTCGTCTAAGGGTTGCTCTTCGGGATTAATTTGTGATTCTGTAGAAGTCATTGTTTACGAATGACAGCTACAGACGTTTGAACTCAATCTATTGGTGTCGAACGTTTATTTACTTGTACGTGTTTAATTTTTTATATATGTAGCGATGTTAGAGACCGATAACGAAATGTAATTGATATACGGTGTTCATTTTTAATGTATATAATTATATAAATGGAACAAATTAAATATTAATTAATTTAAATTGTAAAGTACCAAATCACGCTGCGATACCATTAATATGAATGATGTTATCCTTAAATGTAATGTAACTCCAATACGTTTAATTATGATAATTTTAAAATTACTAATTAAATTGACACCACGCAAATAACGTCATGATTGCCTTATAGCCTCTTTTCATAGCTGAAGAAAAAAAATATGTCTTGAAGGGCTGGCAATGCACTAGCAAGCCCGACGTAGCAGGTTCGTAACAGGTTATTATAATTAAACCCATCATTTGCCTTCCAAAAATATATACAGTTACATACTATAGTTTTTTATATAGTCAGTGGCGCTACAACCTTTTTAGGCCCCAGATTTTTAGTATCTGTTTCATGATCATTTGTTAATCTTATAGGCAAGTAGGTAATCAGCCTGATGCACGCCGTCGTCTTTTTGGGTCTAAGGCAAGCCGGTTTCCTCACGATGTTTTCCTACACCGTACGAGCGAATGTTAAATGCGCACATAGAAAGAAAGCCCATTGGTGCACATCCGAGGATCGAACCTACGACCTCAGGGATAAGAGTTGCACGCTGAAGCCACTGCCAACACTACTGTTTTTTTATTGGATAAATTACTTAAATGAGGTGAATAATCATTTTATATCGACAAAAAAAATCAACGAACACATATCAAAAACACTCTGTGATTACTTTATCGTATTTAACAGTACTAATAACTATTTGTTTAGAATGTTTGTAAAGCTTCTTTATCGACCCTGAGCTAATAGAGATATCAACAAAAGTATTACATTACGTTGAGAAAGAACAATTTACGATGATTTGAGCTTTTTAAATGGTATCCGTCAATCTTGTATAATTGGTGCTTAAAGTGGAATATCATCGTTGCGTCAGTTTAATTAATATTTTTTCGGCTATCTTAACTAATAAAATAAACAAAAGCCTTCTGATATTGAGGCTTAAAGAATTTCTGGGTTTCATTTTTAAAGCTGCGCAACAAAAAAAACAAATAGCAACTTCCATAATTGTTTAATTTCTACAATATTCTGTATAAACAAATTATCTTTATAATATATATCTCGTCTTACTAAATAATATTTCTGTTGTTAATTTGTATATCTATATCTAGATATATTGTTAAGTATAATATTTTTTTATTAAAGTGTTCACACAAAACTACTCGTTTAAATTATTTTTCGTTTAGTGTATTTTAATTAAATACACTAACATATTAACTACTTTTTATTTACTTTAGATGGCTCTGTATTTTTTTTATACTGTAAAATATACTGGAAGCGGACTCAGGTCTGACTGAAAATCAGTGCAGACACATCCAAAGGGTTTTCTGCTGAGGCTTTTGTTTCACTATGTAAATATTCAAATTTTAAATTGACAGTCTTGCCAGCATGGAAAACAATAAGATGAACTGCAACAGCTTCATAGTTATCCTAGATTTATACCAATTATAAAATAATGCAACTTTTTAATTATCTGTCAAACGCTGAATTAGCATTATTATCAGCGAATAATTTCCAGCATCAAATAAAACCTAAACAGCCCTGCGATTCTGTAACTCACTTTTCGAACTCACACAGCGGTTTTCGCATCGGCGGTCGCTCTCAAATCAGTCGTGAAGCAGTCATTTTATGATTTGGCATTCTGAAAAGGTGGGAGCTTGTAGTTTATTGTTTATTAGAATGCCAAATCATAAAATGACTGCTTCACGACTGATTTGAGAGCGACCGCCGATGCGAAAACCGCTGTGTGAGTTACAGAATCGCAGGGCTGAGACTTGTTACTTACTTTAAGCTTAAGTATTTCCGAACCAATTCGTCTTAGGGTCTTTCAAGAAAAGAGCGTACCAATTCTTGAAAGGCCCGCAACGCACTCGCGAGCCCTCTGGCATTGTGAGTGTCCATGGGTATCATTTAACAACAGGTAAGCCTCCTGCCCGTTCGCATCCTATTACATAAAAAAAAGGTGACCTTCACAAAAAGAGCCAATTCTTAAAAGGCATCACTTAACATCAGTTGAGCCTCCCGCAAAAAAACTAACAATGCATTTAGCAACTGAAAACTGCTTTGTCGAATATTTAATAATTTCGGACACCCGTTACATACAAAATCTACTATTTGGCAAGTGCTTAAGAAAATTTAGTTACTGCACTTAAACGAGTTCACTGCACTGATACAACAATTAATCACCGAAGTCCTTTAGATAACAAAGTGCGTAGATGACTCAGTCATAAGGTATGTAACCTATATTCATCAATCAGTCCTAAGCGTTTATTTAAATTTTCAAAGAACACGATTTATAAAAAAATTTGACAAAACTACGTGTTTACGATTTACAACCGTACAGGTATTTGCAATGTAAATGACACCATGCAATATGATTTGCTTGTTTGTTCATTTCCATTATATCTTATTATATCACTTAAGTTAGTTGGCATTTAGACCTCGTACCGGGCGCGACTCTTAATCTCATCTCACCCCACTAGTTTAGTCCATTGCTCATAAAATAAATAATTATCCCTTTAAATACTTAATAATTTTCCTAACCCCGAACATTGGTCCTTCGAGCCATTAGTCGTATTTTTGGCAGGATCAGGACGCGTGTGCTTTCGCAATATTGTTTTGCTTAGTGTGTGTTATACTGATACCTGCGTATCAAAAGAATACATCTAGAGCTACGATTTATGGATACACCTCTTTTATCCTAATCACATTGCCTAAGAAAGGCAAAACCTCTACATTTGTACACCTCGTGCCTCGGTGCCTTAGGAAGGCACTACATCTCTTCACCTCGTAACCTCGGTGCCCTAGGAAAGCACTACATTTCTTTACCTCGTGACCTCGGTGCATTAGGAAGGCACTACATCTCTTCACTTCGTGACCTCGGTGCCTTAGGAAAGCACACTACATCTCTTCACTTCGTGACCTCGGTGCCCTAGGAAGGCACACACATCTCTTTACCTCGTGACTTCGGTGCCTTAGGAAGGCACACTACATCTCGGATTCAGTACAACCTTGCAGGTATTGTGAGGATATCTTGAGCAACTTATCAGCTGAACAAGTAAGGTTATATTGTTATCTCTGATAATCATTATTGTCCACAATGGAAGAATTTTAGCTACCCAACAGCAGTTGGTGGACGCAGTGATAAGCTTTATATCAACTTTAAGAAGATACGAGCAAGACTCCCGATTATATACGTCGTCGTTTAGAAACGTTAGAACAATATTTTACAGATATTCATAATAACCATATGACACTTTTATCTTTTAGTGATCAGTCTCATGAATATTTTACTTTTAATAAATACGAGCAGATTAAGAAAAAAATATGGTAATATTAAGACAACTTTAAGAAATTAAAGCCTTTGGCAAGCATTACAAAATCCCTGAATTACAACCTCCAACGTTTCAAGCCCCGTCTACCTCTAACCATCGACCTCCAATGATCTCAGGAAATATCTCTCAAAAATAACTCTTATATGGTAAAACAGAAGAGCTCATGAGAAAACAAACTACAAATTTTAAAGCTTTTCTAAGAACTGCCTCGAGTATAGAACTTGACCTTATCTCGGAAAAGTGGAGTTAGAAGACATCCTAAAGACCTTGCAAGTCCGTTGACTGCAATTGATAGCTTACATTGGGAGTTGGACAATGAACTTTGTGGTTCCAACCGAGAATATGAAGAGCAATTTACAAATTACGAAAAATATTACATTAAAGTTAAGAAGGATATCAATAAAAAGATGTGGTCGGTATCACACATCGAGAAAACAACCCCTAAATGGAGTTACCAACCTTCGAGGGAAATTATAACCAATGGGTTTCCTTCAAAGATCTCTTTACGGAAACTATTCATAGTAACCCATCTCTTTCGAATGGCAGAAATTACAATTTCTCAAAAGTAAGGTTAAGGGTGAACCTGAGAAGTTGATTCAACATCTCCAGGTAAGCTCAGATAATTATCTCATAGCTGGAATATTCTCAGTCATCGTATGATAATAAGGCCTAATCTTTACATCTCACCTTAACAATCTCTTAATATTCTAATATTCAATACCAGTCTTATAATCATATAAAACGCATTCACGATGTTACAAACGAGAGTATAATGCGTAGAAAATCTTGGAATTAATGTTTCTTCCTGATCCCTCCTTGTATGATTCAGAAGTTAGACGCAGACACGTACAATGAATATATACAGTCTTTGAAATCGCCGAGAGAATTACCCGTATACAAGATTTTTGCAGTTTTTAGAAACTAAGTTTATGACCCTAGAAACTTACGGAAGAAGCAAGAAAATCACACCCCAAAGTGTCATATCATAACTTCAATCAATAAAACCTTCAAAAAATTTAAATAATCAATCATCATCTTCGAAAAATTTTAATCATAACTTTAGACAAAGTTATAATAATCCTAAGTATACTTATTCTACAAATCAGGTTATTTCGCAACCGACAATTCCAGTAATAAAATTATTGAAAAACGCAAGCTGTGTCCGGTGTGTAATTCAAGCGATCATCGTATACATTTATGCCAAAAATTACATGAATGTTTTACAAAAGAAATATGACACCGGACGTTTCACGATCTAGGTTACACGTGCCCCGGTTGTGAAACATTTACCTCAACAACAGAAATTAACACATTCTCTTAAGTGCCTGCGAAATATTATTGCCACTGTCATTATTAGAAAGGCAGCGGATGGATCTTATAAAAATGAGAGCTCTTTTAGATAGGGCTCACAAATCCAATTTAGTGAAAAGCTCAATTATTAAAATACCTCGACAAAATGTAATGGTTAATTTCTGGG